GTAGAATACTGATGTGATATGTCTCTACTCTTTGATGAGGCTGTAGCTTGCTAATCCCGAAGATGTATATTTTATTGATTGTTTTTGAAATGTTGTGGACATGAGACGCCCTTGATTGTTGTGTTGAAATGATTAGCTGTCTTGTGCATTTTCGAGAAAGAACGGCTACAACGTTTCAACTTTCCATACACGCAACCATTGCCATATTTAATGTGCAATGATGATAGTTGCAGGCATATTTTATAGGTACAATGGTGAGTAGTTCAGAGGTACTGCTGTTTGCCAGCTTTGAAAGGGCATCGACATGAGCATTTTCCATTCATGAAATTTGTGTCAATTTAAACCTTTCGAAGGCTGGGACAATTTCCATTACTACTTTCAGATATACGGCCATACTCATATCCTTGGCCGCAAAACTACCATTGACCCGACTTACCACCAACTGAGAATCACTATTGATAATTAGCATCTTTACTTACATTTTCCTGGCCAATCTGAGGCCGACTAGAAAGGCCTCGTATTCTGCAGCATTGTTGGTATCCTTGAATCTAAACCTCACAGCACAATAAAGCTTATGCCCTTATGGGCAGACTAAAACTACCCCGCCCCAGATTTCGTGTCTCCAGAGAAACCATCAACAAAGAGGTTCCAGGTGGGTGGCTCGACGAGTTCCATTTCTTCTTCCATTTCTAGAATATGGGTGAAATCTGCTATGAAATCTTCTAAGGCTTGACCTTTAACAGCAGTCTTTGGTTTGAACACAATATCGAACTCAATGAGATCTACATCCCATTTCATCATCCTTCCTGAGGCATCAGGTTTCTAGAGTATCTGCTTGAGCGAAAAGTTGGTCAGCACATGTATGGTATGAGTCTGGAAGCACAGCCTCAATTTATGAGAAGCTGTCACCAAGGATAGAGCCAGCTTCTCCATGTCTGGATAGAAGAGTTTTTGTTGCCAAGAAGGCTTTGCTCACATAATATACTGGTAATTGGTGATCACCTTCCTTCCTCATAAGTATCGAAGTGATAGTGTTGGTGGTTACTACCAGGTATATTTGCAAAAACTTGTCATTTTAAGGCTTAGAGAGAAAGGAAATCTGTTCCAAGTGCTTTTTTAGCTCTTTTAAGGTTAACTCATATTTCTTCGTTCACTGAAACTTTTTTCCTCCTTTAAGACCTTAAAGAAAGGAAGACATTTATCTATTACTTTTGAAATAAAGCGGCTTAATACCACTACGCGTTCTGTAAGAATTTGTTCTTCTTTAGGCTTCCAGGGCGACCTCATTCGATCAAGCCCTTAATTTTTCTTGGATTAGACTCTACGCCCCTTTGATTGACCATGTAATCTAAGAATATTCCCGAGGCAACCCTGAACATGCACTTCAAGGGTTTCAATTTCATCATGTACCTTCCTAGTATGCGGAAAGCCTCTCTAAAGTGCTCCACATAGTCATTTTCTCTCAGGCTCCTTACCAACATGTCATCACCATACATCTCCATTGTCTTTCCAATAAAGTCTGCAATCATTTTATTTACAAGCATCTGAGAGGTGGCTCCAGCGTTTTTCAACCCGAAAGGCATCACCTTATAGCAATAAAGACCTCAAGCATCCATGAAGCTGAGCAGTTCATGTCCGGCAGTTGAGTCCACAAGCTAGACTATCCATAGGAGTGGAAAACTGCCTTTAGGGCAAGCTTAGTTTAAGTTGAAAAAAATCCACACATACTTTCCACTTGCTGTTATGCTTCTTAACAAGGACATGGTTAGATACCTAATTGGAATATGTTGATTCCCGAATGAAGCAATTGTCGATTAGATTTTTCACTTCGTCTCTCAAGGCCTCATACCTCTCCGAGCTGAGGGCTTTTCTCTTCTACCGATGAGCTTTAGCCTTGAGATCAATTTTCAAATGATGGTAACTGACCCTTGGGTTAATGCCAATCATGTCCTCATGTTTTCAAGTGAATATGTCCAAATTTTGATGCAAGAAACTTTTCAGTATCTCATTAATTTTCGTTGGTAGGTTTTTTCCAACCTGTAGGAATTTGGAAGGATCGTGGGAACTCATTCGGAAACTTTCTAATTCTTTCAATAAGGCTGTTTTAGGCTCTCAATTGATCATGCGAGAGTCCAGCTCATCCAATTTAGCTACTTCTTCAGCACCTCTCCCTTCTTTAGGGGTTCTTGTTGTCTATTGACTGTCACTTCTTCAGAGACATCCGTCATTTCGAATTCTTCTCCTTATTCATGAGCTTATTCTTGCTTAGGGACATCATGCATATATGTGTCTATTATAATCACATTGATATCCCAAGGTTCCGCCTTTCTGAGGGAGTTCAGACACTTCATTGCGCTCATCTGATCGCTTCTGACAGGGACGATCCCATTTTCAGTAGGAAACTTCATGCACAGGTGGTAAATGGATGTAGTAGCCCATAACTCTTTTAATACTAGTCTTCCCAACACTCCATGGTAGGCTAAATGATTATCTACCACTAAGAACTCTATGAAGTGATAGGCGATTAGTGGTGCTGTTCCCATTTCTACTGCAACGGTAATTTTTTTCCCTTGAAACGATGCCATCTCTAGTGAAACCTTAAGAGTGGGAAAGTTATAGGGGTCAGTTCATGATCTACTCGTATCTTGTCAAAGTTGCCCCAGAGATGATGTTTACCGAGCTTCAATGTTAATAACGTGATAAATTTTAATGATTTTCGTTAATGACAATAATTTTGTAGAAATGGTTACCTAGTAAACAGAAGACCATCAAATTTAGTTAAAGCTTAACTTCATTTCCAACCAAAAGTAAATCTTTAACGTTATTTGTACTAAGCTCGTCTTGCACTAAGCTATCGTCTTGAATCTCTTCATCTAAAAAATGAGAAAAGACAAGGAATGAGCTAATAAATAATATGCAGACACCAGGCACATATGCGCATGTTTATGATATTCATTAGTTTAAAAGACGTGGCTTTTCAAATAGATATCCTTTTTTTTCTTTATTTTTAAGACTAGTATTTTGAGCTAACTTTTATGGTCAATCAGACAAAAGGGCTTCATAGAATCCATTCAACTATTGAATCTCGTCTGAGAGGGAGAGGCTCCTAGCAAGAAGCCCAGAAGCGAGCCTAATTCGAAAAATGGCTCCTCTGTTCATAAGTTCGACGCGTATAGTCTGGGAGCTAGGGAACTTGATAATAGAGGAGGCTAAGTGTTAGAGGGCTATCGATGAGCTGATCGCTTCTATTGACACTCTGGAGAGGGAGTTGAAGGACACAATGAGGGAGTTGGAGGGGCTGAATATGGAGGCTACCCGCTCAAATAGCCAATAGTATTTTCCACTGTAAAGGCTCGAAGGGAGAGGTTCTAGGGCAACAAGACTAATTATGAGAACTCGTTAAGAAGTACGATGTCGCCTTTGAAGGAGTATTATCTTATATTTGTTCACAAGGACGTTGCTACATTTACACTTTGATTTACACTTTGTCACGTGACATTATCCAATTGAACAATTTAAATTTTAAACAATTTTTTTATCCAATACATTGTTGACAACAATGCAAGTGTCAACAAAAGTGTATAAATTCGTTGTTCAAATGGTAGAGTCCCTGTTCACAAATCATTCATAAACAATTCCTCTCTTCAGATAATATATTTTTCAGGTCGAGGTGCGTGCAAGCTGGACCGAACATCCACGGTTATAAAAAAAAAGGATAATATATTTTTCAGTGGTCGTACAAGTACAGGATGGCTTTCTCAGGTACTTTACAGGGTTATAAATTTTGATGAAGTAGCACATGAAAAAGAAAAAAGAGACAACGCGTGAAATTGAGTTGGGTGGAAACCTAATTTCAAAATCATTTATCCTCTTTCTCTCGCCTCAACTCTCCGTGGGAATTCCTTTACTATCGGTGATGGCGATTGGGTTTCCATCTCCGGCCGTCGCATTCTCTTGAAATCAGAGTCGACCTCAGGCCTGTGAAAGCTTTTCGGCTGGCGACCATTTTCAAAGTCGACCTCACAACACTGCTCCTCCGTTGGCGAGTGCGTGAAACCACCACTGAACAACACACTTCCAACGAGAGCTTTGAACCACCGGTGGGTAAGCAGTGAAGTACATTTTTTCCTGGCTTTAGCCAAACATTTTTTTCCAAAGTGACTCAAAAAGTTCGGTTTTGTATGATACCATTTTGAAGAGCTATTTGTACCGTGTTCTTTTTGTATTTGCTTTGGGAAAATGGAATTGATATCAAAAACTATTTTGTATGATGCCATTTTGACAGAGAACTTGATAGATTGGTTGTTCGTCACTTGTTCCAATTGTATTAAGATTCCTCTTCTGCATCAATTGTATAATTCTCTTTTCAATTGTATGAAGATATCTGTTTTGATGCAATTTTTATGTGTATGAAGTTGTTGTCGATTTTTATGTTTTCTGCACTAATGCTCACACCCATGAGCAGGATTTATTGCATCTTTGGAGCTTCATATTCATTCTAGTTTTGATAGTTTTCAATAAAAAACCATAATAAAAAAAGGTTAAAAAGCTATGGGTTGTATTACAGGTAGCTGAATTCCGAAAGTGAGCATCTTACGTTGGGCTGAAATTTACTGAATTTTGAACCGTAACTTTGACAGAAATTGCCCAAAAAATGATTCTTCAGTTGGTAGTTCTTTCATTTGGTTTGATTGAATAATGACACTAGATATATTTCAATCATCACTGAAGTTGCTGTGTTTTGTTTGTAGAAAATTATTGCTAGTACTTAAATATAATGTGCAACTTGTAACGAAATGCGAAATGTTGTTGCAGGAAAAGAATGATTCACTTGGCTCATTTATTTTGCAGAAGTTAGAAGTGAGTCCATGGTTAAATCTTGCTGATTGAAAAAATGAAGGGGCACTATTCAATAACTTGTAGTAACAAATGCGACTACCTCGACTGGGTGAAAAATGAAGAATCAACCGTTGAATTGAGTAATGTTAATGAAGCAGTGAATGAATGTTGTGGCGAATGAGGAAGCTGAAGATTTGCCCAGAGTGTTTGATTCTCTTGCTCGAATAGCCGAAAAACGAGATGTCAAAAACTTGTTGGCTGGCATGTTTAGGAGTTAGTTGTTGAATGGATAATGCCCTGCGTATAGGGCAGTTTGTAGTTGTATTGTGTTTGTTTTGTACATGCTATCGGAAAATGTTGATGTAGAGACAAGTAACATTCAATTTCAACCATGTAATGTGCATTAAATATTTGTATATGCTTCTGGTGTTGGGCTACATAAGATTCAATTTGCTAGCATAAAACAGAGATTAGCATTCCATCCAATTATTTGTAGGGACATAGAATCACTTAAGCAGGCAGTTCTTTGGCCAATTCTGCAAAGTTGGATATAACAACTACTTCAAGTATTTAAACTTCCAGTTGGAACCATTGAACAAACAGAGGCAAATTGCCTTTAACAAATAGAGGCATGTTATCAGTAAACTAAAACAGGGGCAATTTATTCTCTAGCTATAATGCGCCATCAGCATCCCAACTTAAGTAGGTTGATCTAAATAATGTAGATAATCTGAATGCAGTAACCTATTTCCATGGATTTATGCTCTCAATACCAACATAAAATGGAGATAGTAAATACAAAATAATCTCATACATAGAACGCATATAAAATGAAGACAATGGAATCCTCAGTACAAAAAAGGTCACTGAATATAAATTCAATTGTATATTTCCATTAGCATAAAACTGAAGACAATGGAATCCTGAATACAAAAAAAAAAATGGACTCCTGAATATGAAGACAATGGAATCCCGAACAGAAATCATCAAACATCCATTTGGCTCTTATGCTAGGATCTTCTATTTCCATTCTTGTGATTTGAAACTGGTTGTAGACTATTGAAATCAGAACATTGCTTAAAGCAATTCCTTCTTGTGGTTGCTAGGATCTACATAGAAAAGAACTACGATGAAGCTTGAAGCTAGCACTTAAGCAAACAATGAAAAAAAAAGAAATTGAATAGGATCTACATAGATGAGCTAATACTTACATCTTCTAATAGAAATTGACAAAGCCCACTGTGTTGGAAGCTCACTACAAACCATAGAATGAACACTTCAAAGGGCCTTTCCGTCGAAGTGTAAGTGCAGAGAAAAAGGTTATACTCTGTTCCGGTAAAAAAGGTTATATACACGTTGAAAGAGTTGCTAGAAAATATTACCTATAAACCCTGTTTCTCGCCCTCCAATTCGGCCTTCTCCTTGTGTTCAATAGCCTCAACTGAAGGCTTCTAATTTCTGGTTCGCTTCCGGGATGAAGCGGCAGGATGTATTTCCGTTTACCAGCCCGAAATGGGGATGAAGAGCCAGTTTCTATTTTCCAGAGGTACGCCAGATTCGGAGCCGGCAACCACTGCAAGGTAAAGGTTTTGAGCTAACTGAAAATCGAGGTCTGGGACGCGTGAAATTGTGGGAGAAAGAGGCGGTTTCGGAACAGGCAACGAATGAAAATGAAGGTTTAAACGCTGATAATGGAGTTCTTGGAGTGCGTCCGCCGATTACTATTTATGTTTACCAATTGAAAGTACGTCGGATTCGGAGCCGGCAACCACTGAATTCAAGGTTTTGGAATGGGAAAATGGAGGTGTGGGAGGCGTGAAATTGTGGGAGGAAGTATGTTTTCCCTCGCTTTCCTTTCCTTTAACTTTCCTAATTAATTTTTTTTTTTGGAAACTGCCACATCATCAATTTTTAAAAATCCTGTAAGCTTCCTGTAAATACCATCCTGTATTATATTTTTTTCTTCCAACAAATTGCTCTCCCGTACGAATTCGAACTCCGTCACCCACAAGTACTCGCTCTCATCAAGAAATATACTGTCCGTCACAGTCTGTACACATCAACTCACGTGATTTTCCATCCACGTGTTTCAGACAAAGATGCTGACTTGGCAGTTTTTGTAACATCCCAGAAAGCAGGAACAGATTTTCTTGAAATCAAGACAAACAGTGTCGTAATTCCCCTCCACACATTCTTCAATTGCCTTATCTTTGAGCTGTCCCTTCTTCCCACCAAAACCGCCAAACATCCGATGCCCGTTTTTATAATGCATAATCCATTCCAAAATCTTAGCCATCCATCCACTTCTTCCACCGCCGCCGCCGCCGCAAATGGCCACCAAACTTGGGTTCAGTATAACAACCCCAAGATTCTTCACTGTCCCATTCAGAAAACCAATCATTTCTGTGTCTGCTTCTCCTTCTCTGCCTTCTCCTGCTTCAGGGGTTCAGTTGATTCATTTCAACGGTAGAAAGTTATCCATTAAACGCAGATTGTTGATTATTTCTCCTCGGGCCTCTACTGATCAGCAAGGTTAGGGTTCAGAATTTGAATTAATTACGACTTCTTATTTTTTTTCTTGTGGTCCTTTTTTGTGACTGAAATTTCAAGTTTTGAGATTGGGTATATTGATTTACAGTCGTTTCTCTCAAGAAAATTGCTTTGCTTCCAACCTTATAGGCATATTGGTGTCAAGAAGCAAACAATAAACAAGTTATAAGAAGTAATTAAGCTCAAACAAGCAATTTAATTCGATGAAGACTCAAATAAGCACACGGATACCATTGTGTTCTCGAACGAACCACCATCATGCAATGTATGTTTAGCATAAATCCCATGTCCACTAAATATGCAAACAATAAACAATATAAGGGATTAGGCTATCTCTTAATAAATGTTAAGATTGATCTTTTAAGATGGAAATCCAATTCTTTATACATGGTTCATTTCAAAATTTTATTTTTTGGAAATCTATGTTAGGGTTTGTCTTGTTGAAGAACTATCTTTAAATAAATAATTTTTTTTCCCTCTATAACATCTCAAGCTTTAAGATGAGGTGACGTCGGATAGTATTTGAGCATACAAAGATCATTGCTGAAAATCTTTGCATTTGAGGGAAATACAAACCTGGAAATATGTCTAAATTTTTAGCATTGTTTGAAACAAGGATTAGCATTAGCTTGTATTTGTTTTTTCCTTGGACAGTGCCAATATTGATTTCATCCCTGTATTACAGCAACCTTGTACTCGCAAATGCTTCCAAACTATGTGTGGTTAGCACTAGCATTATGTGTTGCTTTGATTGATGCCTTGTTTATTTTCAGGTCAGGTTCAAGGAGATGAGGTGGTCGACAGCAATGTCTTGCCCTATTGTAGCATAGATAAAAAACAGAAAAAGTCTCTCGGGGAGATGGAACAAGAATTTCTTCAAGCACTTCAGGTATTAACAGAGGACCCCTGCAGCACCAACTTGCTCATCTCTTCTCATATATTTTCTTTCGTATGTAATCCTTATTATTTCTGTAAGATAAAAAGTGTTCTGAATTTCTGCTTCATTACAGGCATTCTACTATGAAGGAAAATCTATCATGTCAAATGAGGAATTTGATAATCTTAAGGAAGAACTCATGTGGGAAGGGAGTAGTGTCGTTATGCTAAGTAAATAAGATTTCTGTCTTCTTTCTTTCGTCCTATTTGTTTGTGAATTTTACTTGATCCCTGTGGTTGTAATTTGCTTTTTGGTATTGCAGGTGCAGACGAGCAGAGGTTTTTGGAAGCTTCAATGGCTTATGTATCTGGGAATCCAATAATGAATGATAAAGAGTATGATGAACTTAAACTAAAACTCAAGGTTTGTGAGAAATGATGTCGTATACATATTACGACTTAGAAAACAACTTTAAATTCGTTAGAAATGATTGTTACATATAAAGCAGTATTTCTAGAAGAACATTTCTTTAAGAAAGTAAAATATGTTGTATTTTATCTCAATTTCTTGTGAAAACTTTAAGACAATCAGCATTTGTAGTAATTCACTTTCTGTAATTCTTAATTGTCTTATTTTACTACCCTGTTTCTTTTCATCTTCTTAGATGGACGGGAGCGAAATTGTGATTGAGGGTCCTCGTTGCAGTCTTCGCAGTAGGAAGGTTTGTTCTTCTATTTCATATGCAATTATGCATTGCTCAGCTATGTTTTGCAAACACGCGTGAGCTTGATTATCAATCTTTCTTTCTTAAATCTACCCTGCTTTGATCCTTCCAAAGGTGTTGGGAATACTTGTGTCATACAATTGACACTTGGATGAAAGTATAGAATCATTATACAATAATTTACACTCAACTCAGAAACGATATCAGTGATGCTCTTTGGTATATATAATGCTCTTTGGACAAGTATTACTCGATTTAGAAGTTTGCTAAATTTGACATTTAGCCACATATCTAGTCCTGGGATGATGACACCAGGACCAAGTTCACTAAGAAAACTTATTGATGGTTCAATTCTTTGTGTGAAAGGTCTCGGAAAACTTACTTGATGAGTTTCTTTGCAATTAATATTTATCAGTCCCTTTAAGTAGAATGTTGATGAACTGATACTTCCAAGAGCAAGTTCAGAAGAAATACGAGGGAAAGGCTTTGTGGGCTAAATTTATATTTAGTCTTCCTATTTAATGGGTTTCCTGTTAGCCATTCAAACACAGAGGTCGTGTATTTTCCTTTCCAAAATAAAAATTTCATAAGCCTTAGCCTGCACTCTTGGAATGAGAGGGGGATGATAAGGTCAAAGGAGAGAATCTAAAAACATTCCGTTTAGCTAGTGTGTTTACTCTTATCTTGTTGGTACTAGAAAGGATAGAGGAATGAGAGGATGAGAACAATGATTTAGTTTTGGTCAACATAGTCGAATTTGGATAAATGACGACACTTCTCTTAACAAAAATGGTATTATGAGCAAAACTTCGGGCTAGGTCCTTGAGACATTTATGATTGAAGGACGATTCCACTATTTTAGGGGTCAAACTACCATTTCACTAAATTATCGGGAATTACTGATTTTCTTTTATTAATTTCAAAATTATGTCTCAGGAGTTTATAATTGTTTATTTTATTAATTTCAAATTTTAGTTTCCAGAATTAGCTCTTTAGGGCTAGATTTAGAATTGTTTAACTAAGACCCGCTAGGTTCAGCTAAAATCAATGGACATAGACTAAATATTTGAGTGTTTATAATTTTTGTCCAAACTCTCAATATTTTGTACAAGTCAACAAGTTTTTGTTGCTTGTTTCCTGGTCGTATTGAGCGACTTAAAGGAAATTAGAAATTTGTTCATAAACTCCATGTGTTTATATCTTCGTACCCGTTACGTGCATCACAGTCCCATCTTTTTCTTCTCTTGAAGATCAGTTTTCATAAGTTGATTATTTTTAAGTCATACCTGTCATTTGTATGTAATGATATTTTGTCATGTTTACATACGCTTTTAACTGATGAAGTAATAAAAAGAGTATATTGTCGTCCGCTATTTCTGCATTATACTTATTGAGCAGCATGTCGGAGAATCTTTTAAATTGTCTACTCTGCACTATGTATGTGAAATACATGGTACAAAATTCTTGATACCTTGAATATCTTATTACAACCTGACGACAGTCAACCCGTGATGCGAAAATGCTAATGATAATGTTAGTTCTTAAAGGATTGCTTAAAGTTGTTTCCACATTGTTTCTTCTTTCTTTTTAGTAATGGTTATTTATGAATATGCAGTTGTTCTTTATTAGAATATAATGAGTGTGGACAGGAAAGTTCAGATTTTTCATATACCAGGTCTTTTTAAGATTTGATTGATCTCCTTCCTGCAGGTTTACAGTGACCTTTATGTTGACTACCTCAAGATGTTTCTCATAAACGTCCCAGCTGCAGTTGTTGCATTGGGATTGTAAGTGTCACTTGCATGAATGCACTTGTACGAGCTTCAAGTTAAAGAAACTAGTTGATACTATGCTCTTTTAAGTTGTTTCTTTGATCAATCTACTAAACCTGTAGGAAACACTCTATGTCAAATAGTTATATGATTATCGTAAAGGGCTAACCTCAGGAATATAACAAGAAAACTTTTCATGTTGAGAGAATGGAATACTTGAGCTAACAGCTTTTTAATCCATGCCATATCTAGGTTTTTCTTCCTCGATGATTTGACTGGATTTGAAATCACCTATTTATTGGAGGTAATAATGGATTCCTTCACTTTTCATACTCTCGTTGAGATATGGCTTGATTTGTTCTTTCCCACACTTGACGATGCAGTTACTTGAATTGAAATTCAGAGAACGTAGTTGAATTTTTTGCTTATGTTCTCTGTTCAATAATTCCTTTTAGTCATAGATTAATCCAATACTTTAATATCTCTGCAGCTTCCCGAGCCCTTCAGTTTCATTTTCACATGGTTTGCAGCTTTGCCTTTCATTCTATGGTTATCTTTCACCATTACAAACACAATCGTGAAAGATTTCCTGATCTTGTCGGTAAGATTATCATAAGTTATTAAGGATAATAACTTAAAATACTGTTTCAATTTTGCTTATATATATTAGAAAGTAAAATTCAACTAATCATATTTACTGACTCAGGGACCCTGTCCAAACTGTGGCACGGAGAATATTTCCTTCTTTGGGACCATATTGTCTATATCTAGTGGTGGTTCGACCAACAATGTAAAATGCTCAAAGTAAGCATAGTAGTATCCGGCATTCATTAGGCAATTGCTGTATTATTTTGCGACTCTTATTTGATCCAAGTGGTTTTACTTATTGCAATAATTTTGACCATTGGAACAATCTGCATCAGTTGCGGGACAGAGATGGTGTATGATTCTAGTACACGACTGATTACATTGCCCGAAGGAAGTGAAGCATGAGTTGAGGTATATACCCTCTTTAGACGTTCTTAACCGAGTAATATAACATTATGGTTTACAACCAAAAAATATATAGAGCAGTGTTGTGAATTGATCGCAAGATAATGACAAATGAAATAAACAAAAATAAAATAAGAACATCAAAATTTATGTAAAAATCGAAGATGGGAAAAAACCAGGAGGAGAAATTAACTATAATCTATAGTAATTGTGTTTACAATATCAAGATCTCAATACTCTCAATTGAAATATAAGGTCTCTACCTCTCAAGATGTTATTGAATGTGTATATAGAGATACAACAATGTGGAATATATATAGGAGCTTTTTTGAGTTTAACTTGAAGAAGAATTCATAAAATCCGCAAAATCCTGAAAATTTCGTCCAAGTGTCACCCTCGTCGTTGGGGATGGCGCCTTGGCGTCGAGAGCCTAATGCCCCAGCACCCGGGAGTTGTCTTCATACAAGGGGCCCGGTGCTACAGCGCCCCTAGCATTGGGCTGCTGGTTTCTAATCTTCTTCGTGGCGCCACGGTGCCTACTCTCGAGTTTGATCCTTCCAATGATGTTTTCACCATCCTAAAATCCTTTTCCAAGTCAAACTCCAATCCTTGTGAAGTTTGATATTTATCAATTAGGATTATCAAACCAAAATTCCTTAAACTTACTTTATTCAACCAAATACCAAATTATAAGGAATTTGGGTCACACCACAACAAATCTCCACCTTGAACCAAATTCTAACATAATGAATTCAAAACACATTTTCAAGTAAACACCACTCAATCTCTTCCAAACAAGCCCCAATGCACTAAATCAATGACAAACACCAATTAAGTTCAACCTCGGTATCAACCTTGGTCACTACAATATCAACCTCACATCAATGTGCTTAGTCCTCTCGTGAAACATTTGATCCTTAATAAATGAAAATAGCATTCTGATTATCGCAATACACTATAGAAATCTACAACTCTTGACTGATTTCACCAATCAATCATCTCAACCACAAGACTTCTTTACATGCCTCATTACATGTACTCAGTCTCTGTTGTAGACAGAGCTATTGTATTCTGTCAAGTAGCTTTCCAATTGATAGCACAGTCTTCAAGGGTAAATAGATACGTGTAAGTGATCTCATTTTATCAAGATCCCGTGCATAATCTGGAACCATATACCCAATGACTCCATCTGTATTTCTACTAAAATGCAAATAAGCATTAGAAGAGCCACTTAAGTATCTGAATATCCAATGCACTACTTTCCAATGTTTCTTACCAGAATTTGCCATGTATCTACTACCTGGGCCGATTGAATGTGCCAAATCTGATCTTGTACAAATCATAGCATATATAAGCGAACCAACTGCACTTGAATAAAGAACCCGAAACATGTAATTAATGTCTTCATCTGATTGAGGACATAAGCTAAATGATAATTTAAAGTGGGCAGCCAAGGAAGTACTCACAGCCTTAACATTTAGCATACTGAACCTTTGAAGCACATTCTCAATATACCCTTTCTGACTCAAATATAATCTGCTAACCTTCCTATCCCTCAAGATTTTCATACCAAGAATCTTCCTTGCTGTACCCAGTCTTTAATCTCAAAATCCTCAAAAAATTAAGCTTTCACTTTTCTAACCTCTACTTTATCCTTGGCTGCTATGAGTATGTCATCAACATATAACAATAAATATGTAAATGTAATCGATCCACCATCTCCTTTTCTGAAGTACACACAACTACTATAACTGCTTTTAGTGAAATTATGAGTAGTCATGAAAGAATCAAACATTTTATATCATTGCCTCGGTGACTGCTTCAGTCCATGCAAACACTTATTTGACAAGCACACATAATTTTTCTTTCCAAAAATTATGAAACTCTCTGGTTGTTGTATGTAAATGCTCTCAAGTTCTCAATGCAAGAACGTTGTCTTGACATCCATATGCTCAAGCACCAAGCCATCCTTAACCACAACGCCAATAAAGCTCAAATTAAGCTATGTTTTACAACCGGTGAGAACATATCTGTGAAAAACACTTGGAATCTGATTGTGGTCCTTTGTTACCAATCTAACATTATACCTTGCATCTTCAATCCTTGATGTGGCTTCCTTCCTTATGAACACCCACTTGCAATGAACAACTTTTTTATCCTTGGGGGGTAATTTTATCAAGTTCCAAGTATTATTTTTATTCAATGACTGTCTCCTCTTGTATAGCAATCAACCATCTGCTAGAATCACTACAATTGAATGCCTCTAATTATGTAGCGGCTTCTCGGTGGAATCAATATTCTCAGCCATACTCAATACATAAGCTACCAAATCTGTTTGTCCATACTTCTGTGGAGGTCTAATCTGTTTGCGAGATCTATCATTGACAATTGAATACTGTGGTATTGCTGGTGGTGTAAGCAAAGTATTACTGTCTTTCAACTCTGAATTAGACTAATTTGAAGTTGTTCTGAAAACTCTGATTATTCACCTAGACCAATTTCCAACTCCACCTGAGTTGAATGATTCCGTTCCTCAGTTTTATCATAATCCCCATGAGGTGAACTATGAACCATAACAAGTTCATCAAATACCACATCTCTACTAACCATCACTTTTCTTGTCTCAGGACACTACAATTTATACCCCTTTACACCTGATTTCAGTGGCGGATCCAGGATATTGATCCAGCTAGGGCGGTCGTTGACCACCGCAATAGTAAAATTGTTTATTAATATTTAATTAAATAATATTAAAAAAATTCAATCAATATATAAATGCACTAAAACATAGAAGTCATATATAAATGAAAATATAATTCAATACAACCCAAAATACTAAAAAAAAAAAAAAAAAACCTACTCTGTAACAGTAAACTTAGACAACTGCATTCTACGAGATCTCATATTTTGAAAACGTTGCAATATTGCCTCATTCTCAAATTTGNTTTTTAAAAAAAGATATTTTGGAAACGAAAACTAATAATATATAATTGTTTAGGTTTTCAATTTAATTTGTTAAAAAAATTAAAAGAAGAGAGAAGGTGATTGGAATTGAAACACCCTTTATTGGTTAAAAATTGGTACAATTTTTATTTATTATTTGTCTAAACATAAAAAAAAAAATAGAGTGAAGTGAAAGGAATCGAACCTCCTTCATCTCCCATGAAGAGTGAGCACTCAACCATTTGGGTCACATTGCGTATTATGTTACATTTATGCTGAAAAATATCATTTATTGGTTACAAATTGGTACAATTTTTATTTATTTATTATTTGTCAAAGCATTAAAAAATTAAATGAAAGAGCGTTGGCTAAAGGAATCGAACCCCAATCGATTGGCAAGGAAGGGAAGATCTTAACCATTTGAGCTAGCTAACTTGTCCTGTTACATGTTTGCACTAACATTTATATATATTTAATATAAAATCTTCCTTTAATCTTTTTTCTCGACGAATCCAGCACGAGCGGCCGCCCCGGCTCGCCGGGTGCTGGGTCCGCCCCTGCCTGATTTGTACCTAAGAAAAATACACTTTCTAGACCTAGGCTCCAGCTTCCCATTATCCACATAAGCATAAGCAGGACACCCAAAATTCTTTAAATCAGAATAACAAGAAGGTTTACCAGACCATACCTCTTCTGTTGTCTTTTTTCTCAATAGCAACTAAGAGTGAGCGATTAATCAGAAAATAACCTATAGCAGTAGCTTCAGCCCAATAAGTCTTAGGCAATCCAGAATTTGAAAACATACAACGAACATTTTCCATTAAGGTTCTATTCATTCATTCTGCTACACCATTCTGTTGAGGAGTAACTAGCACTGTCAAGTGTCTCAAGGTGCTTTCAGCCCTGCAAAAGCTATTGAATTTATCGGAATAAAAATCCAACCCATTATCCGTGTGTAAACATTTCACCTGCTTTCTAGTATGCTTTCCTACTGTTTTCCATTCCTTGAAGGTCCTAAGCATTGATATCTTCTATTTCAGGATGAATACCTAAACTTTTCTGAAGAAATCATCGATCACTATCAACAAATAATAAGCACCTCCTTTAGAAGGCACCCTAGTCGGTCCCCAAATATCTGAATGGATGTACTCAAATGTTCCCTTCGTGTTGTCTTCCTTTAGAGAATCTGACCATTTTCTATTTCCTAAAAACACAATGCTCACAAAACTTATCTTACTAGTTTTCTGCCCATTAAAAAGTCCCCTCACACTCAACTCTATCATACCATTCTCACTCATATGCCCAAGCTGCATATACCAAAATTTTGTAATTTCCTTATCTGTCACAGAAGAAGAAACTGTTGCATCATCTATAACTGTGGAACCCTGCAAAATTTATAAATGTGTAGAGCTTTTATGTCCCTTCATGGCAACAAGTGCACCCTGACTTATCTTCAAAACTTCACCTTCATCAGTGTATCTATAACCCTTTGAGTTAAGTACACTCAAATATATTAGATTCCGCTTCAAATCTGGAATGTACCTTGTATCTGTATGTGTTCTAATAGCCTCATCAAATATTCTGGTCCTGACTGTACCAACTCCGACTATTTTGCAAGGCACGTTGTATCTTATAATTACTACACCTCTCAAAACTACTTCATACGTTGCAAACCGGGTTCATAACCCAAATGGTCATTGAAATTTGCAAAAAGTTTTCACAGGGTCACTGAACTTTAAAAATCACTCCAAGTTATCACTGAACTTTGCAAAAGGTTTACACATGGTTACTGAACTTTAAAAATCAGATTTTGATCTGATCCTCATATTTCTACCAAGATTCCTATCTTGATTTCTCCCTCGAATAACCGGCATTCAACTTGACTCCCAGACCCTCCTGCAAGATGCCTCATTGCCTCCTTAAATAGTAAAACATCATAGACCTTCACAGTGAGAGCATCTCGATTATAGAAAATAATATCTCTAAAAGTTAAATATGATCGCGGTAATGAACACAACAATATTAGCGTCAAGTCCTCCTTATCATACTTAACTTCCAATGTCTCCAAATTAGCTACGATTTCTTTGAACATAGTTAAATAATCATCCAATGATGTACCTTCGAACATCTGGTGAGAATACAAATGTTGTTTCAAGTGTAATTTGTTGGTCGAGCTCTTTGTAATATAAAGTTCTTCTAACTTCAATCACAACACAGTGACACTTTTCTCTTTTAAAACATCATGAAGGATTTGATTTAAAAGATGTAGATGAATTTGAGATTGAGTTTTTCGATCTCTACGCTGCTCAAGCAAGGCTTCCTCTAAATTCATATGTGCGAGAACAGCTCGTATTTTTACTTGTTATAAAGTAAATCTCGTGTTTATATCATACTTCATCGATGCCTTGCGAAAAAATAACCTTGCTTTGATACCCGTTTGTTGTGAATTGATTGCAAGATAATAGCAATAATGAAATAAACAAGAATAAAATAAGAATACCAAGATTTATGTGGAAATCCAAAATGAGAAAAAACCACAGGCAGATAAGGAGAAATTCACTATAATCAATAGTAATTGTCTTTACAATATGAAGATCTCAATACTCAATTGAAATCTAAGCTTTCTAGATTTCAAGGTGTTATTAAATGTGTATATGGAGATAAAACAATGTGAAATATATATAGGAGCCTCTTTTTGGAGTTCAAGTTGAAGAATAATTTATAAAATCTGCAAAATTCCTCAGCGCCACCACTGCAGCGCCTAGGCACTAGGGATGGCACCTTGATGCTGGGAGCTGGCACCCCGATGCTTTTTTCACACAGAGGGCTTGGTGCCTGCTAGTTTCCAATCTTCTTCGTGGCACCTCGGCGCCCACTCTCATGTTTGATCCTTCCAATGATGTTTTGACCATTCCAAAGTCTTTTTTCAAGCAAAACTCCCAATCCTTGATGAAGTTTGATCTTTATCAATTAGGACTATCAAACCAAAACTCTTTAAACTTAATTTATTCCACCAAATACCAAATTACAAGGAATTTGGGTCACACCATAACAAGCAGGATTGAGAAAGAGGATATTGACTTAATTAACTTGAATATATGGAATGAGAGCTTAGGGACTAAAGTGATTTAGTAATACGTAGTTCAACTAAGCTAAATATAATGATTCTACAAAAACAAATCATAATCTCTGAAGAGAGCTGAAAAAATTGATTATTTGTGATAAAAGATTATTTACTTGCAAAAAGGTCATTTTGCACAAGGATTTCTAGTCTCCAAAGGAACATAGATGGCAAGAAATTATACATAATCTAAGGGGACCATGATTATACAGAATTTTGAACAAATGCATAGCTACAGGTTGCCTACACCTTATTGTACTTTGAAAAATTTGATCATGTAAAAAACTTAGTTGTGTAAAAACACATGTTGGCCTTGTGTACATCATAATATACATTAAACTGCCGACTGTTAATGCATATGGAATTTCTATCGTTTCATTCTTTCTAACTTGGTGGACATTATAGTGACCCGAGTGCATAATCATTTTTCTTTATTCATTAAGAAACAGGGAACTCCATTTAATTTGCATTAAGGGCCATTTGGCAAGGCTTTTGAAAAGTTAAAAGCTCCTTCTGAGACTACAAAATTGTCTATCATTCTTTCTAACTCGTTGGACATTATAGTGACCCGAGTGCATAATCATTTTTCTTTATTCATTAAGAAACAGGGAACTCCATTTAATTTGCATTAAGGGCCATTTGACAAGGCTTTTGAAAAGTTAAAAGCTCCTTCCGAGACTACAAAATTGTCTAAAGCAGAAGTCTTGCTGAATGGACCTTAAATCATCCTTAAATTTTCATTATTTGATATTCGAAAACATATCTGCGTGAAAATCGACGCACTGTGTTCTTGAGCTGAGAGTTGGTATATGGCAGGCATAATGGATTCGGATGCAAGAAGAACTGATGAAATGGTGCGAGTCTGAAGACACAAGGAAGAGTTTTCAGTGTAGATACAATTTGGTTGCTGCATAACTCCTTTTATGTCCATAGATATTTGTATCTTGAGTATTTTCGTAACTTCATATGTAAATCTTATACAAATTTGTGCACTGTAGAACACAGGTGCTCGACTATTTTGAAGAAAATCATTTAGTTAAAAGTACAATCATCTCATACTATTTGAGCATTCTCTGCATTTTCTTGCACAATTAATCATTTACTCATTTTTTGCCTGGTTTTTTCATTATATGATGCAGAAAGAAATGGTTTTAGAGATTAATTGGTATGTAATCTACTATAACAGTCAATACGATGAATAAGATCTTAAATTTCTATTCTTAATATGTTTGGTGTGCAGCATTCTACAATTGTTAATCTAGGTACTCACGTGATTGAAACCATCGATATGGACATTAAAATCACACACAACTTTCATGTGATGGAAGTCATCAATATTTTATTAATAGCCATTTTAATGTCCAACTATAACTTACGTGAAATCGTGCGCAATTTGACGGCTTATGTTATGTAAGGATCCAATCTTACATATTTAACTAGATTTGAAACTCAAAACCTTACTTTTGGAGGTTTAGGACTCATAATTCCACACCCCATAAAAGAACAAAGAGTCCAATCTTATTTTTTCCTGAAACCTATCAAGCTTTCAATAACAATACTATTTGTTCACCAGATGGTCAACGTTCCCTTTTTTATGCAAATTTTCTTGTTATAGCTTGATAATTGGACATGGACTATTGGCAAACTAATAAATTCTAATTATTTATTAATATTAGACTCCATTCATTGCATTATTCATTGTTAAATACCGCACCCAAAAAAGAAAAAAAAAATACCATGGCTTACCAAATGAGCTGCCAGCACGTTTTCATACAATATAGGATTTAACGAACACTATTTTTTGACCTAGTGTTACAAGCTAACGTTATACATATAAACAAACATTCTTTATAATTTAAAAAATCATTTGTTGACTTGAGATGCCATAAGTTCGTGAGAGTCACTTCTAAAGCCTTAAACTATATAAAGCTTATCATTTTCAACTCTAAAAGGCATTACACTTTGTACAGTTTTTAACAACTCTTGGCACAGCTTAGGCCAACAGCCATGGCAGATCTTCATTCATGGTGCTTCAGCTTCATCTTGTTAATGGCAGTAGTAGGCAAAGCAACAGCGGCCTATTATGCGCCCGTATTTCATCCTACTGTATGGAAACTCGCCTATGGCACGTTCTATGGCGACGAAACTGCTGCCGAGACAATGGGTGTGTGCCAACTTATTTTTCGACTTGTTAGCATGATTATATTTTGTAGTATCCAAGTTTGTTTCGTCCTATTGATCTAGAGGTGCCATAGGGACCGTATCGTTTTTCTTTCCCTTCTAAAATATAGGTTCGTGTGTACTGGTCTACGGCCACAATAGCTAAACCCATGTTGACTTGGCTATAGAGGTGGGCCGTTCCAGGCACAATCTTTGTCTAACTAACCCAGGCATACCTGATCGGGGTTTTATCGTGCTAGGGCAGCCTAGGCCTAGGCGTCCGGACAGAGATTCATACTCAATATTAGTCCTAATCTTGATTTCTTGTTTTTAATTATTCAAAATGCGAAGGCCTCTCCTTCAAAAGGAAACGTGGTGTCACGGGCAGCAGCCTTACTTAAGCCCCGTGACGCTATTGCAGTCGCTGCACCTTGTAAATGTTTCATTTAATTGTAAAATAGTTGATAATTAGAAAATTTTAGTATGATTCCTCGGCCAAAAGACGTCTATTGGTGTCATTTGGGTTTTTGTTGCTAAGTCTATTATAGGGGGTATTAGTCTTTCAAAAATCTTTCAAGCTTTCTAGTGTTCGCCCCCTGCACTAGCCATTGTAATTTCCTGCTTTCAATCAATTGTAATTTTCAAGCTTTCTAGCAATCAATGATCAAGTTTAATTCAATGCATTTCAATTTCGTGTTGTAAGCTTTCTTTAAATTGTGATCAAA